GCAAAGTTGGACTCACTGATGGTATAAATGGAATTGTATCTGGTATTGGTCTTTTGCATCCAAAATAATTCTCTGGAGGTCACGGGTATCAATAGTTCCTTCTTTTTTTGTTGTTGCTGAGGAGTTTTCCTTGGTAAGAATGTTCCAGAACTTGTTTTTTAACCATTCACCCAGTGAAAGACATCTAGGTTGTTTGTTTGCAGGTTTTGGCTATCATGAATAAAACTGCTGTAAGAGTTTGTGCTCAGGTTTTGGTGTGAGCATAAATTTTGTTTCTCTGGGATAAATGCCCAGGAATGCAATTGCTGAGTCATATGGTAGTTGGGAGTTTATTTTTTTTTTTAAGAAATTGACAAATTATTTTCCAAAGTGGCTGTACCAATTTATATTCCCACCAGCAATGTATGAATAATGCAGTTTCTCTGCATCCTGAGGTAGTGTACTGATATCTCGTTGGCATTTTAATTTGTATTTCTCTACTGGCCAAAGATGTTTAACACCTTACTTACATGCTTAGCTTTCATCTGTGTATCTTCTCCTGTAAAATGTCTCTTATATGTTTAGCTCTTTTTTTTTTTTTTTTGACAGGCAGCATTAGACAGAGAAGAGAGAGAGACAGAGAGAAAGGTCTTCCTTCCATTGGTTCACCCCCCAAATGGTCGCTACAGCCGGCATGTTGCGTCAATCTGCAACCAGGAGCCAGGTGCTTCCTCCTGGTCTCCCATGTGGCTGCAGGGGCCAAGCACTTGGGCCATCCTCCACTGCCTTCCTGGGCCACAGCAGAGAGATGGACTGGAAGAGGAGCAACCAGGACAGAATCCGTCGCCCCAACTGGGACTAGAACCTGGGGTACCGGCGCCACAGGTGGAGGATTAGCCTAGTGAGCCGCGGCGCCGGCCTAGCTCATTTTCTAATGGGATTTTTTGCTATTGTTGAGTTTTGAGAATCCTCTATATATTCTAGATACTAGTCCTTTGTCAGATATGTGGTGCTGTGGTTTGAGATTGTCCAACCACAATTCATGTGTTGGCAACTTGACCCCTCAATGCAACAGTGTGGAGAGATGGGGCTTCTTAAAGGAGGTCAGGTCATGAGGGCTATGGAGGGGTGGGTTAGTTAGGGCAGGAGAGGATTCTTGATTAAAGGATGAATTCAGCCTTCTCCTCCCAGCCCCTACCTCTCATGCATATGGGTCTCCTCCCACCCTTATCCCTTCCACCATGGGATGAGGCAGTGTGAGGACCCTCACCAGTGCCAGCGCCATTCTCTTGGGCTCCCCAGTTTCCAGAATTGCGATCCAAATAAACTTCTGTTCTTTATGACTTACCCAGTCCTGGGTATCCTGTTGGAACAGCACAAAATGGATCAAGATACATGGTTTGCAAATATTTTCTCTCAGTCTGTAGTTTGTCTTGCCTTCCTCGTAACTAGGTCTTTTACAGAGCAAAGGGCTTTAATTTTGATAATGTCAAATCTATAAGTTTTTCTTTTCTGAATCATGATTTGGTGCCAAGCCTAAAAGTCTTTATGTAGCCTAGAATCCAAAGGTATTTTTCATACATTTCCTCTAAAAGACTTACTGCTTTATATTGATTTGAGTTGAATTTTTTTGTTGTTCTTTATGGATGTCCAAATGTTCCATTACTGTTTGTTGGAAGTGGCTAACTTTACTCCATTGAACTGTGTTTCCATCATTGTCAAAAGTAATTTGGAGTTATTTGTGTGAGTTTATCTCTGGGCTATCTATCCAGCTCCATGAATATTTGTGTCTAACCTTCTGCTAATACCACAGTCTTCATTAGTTATTATATAATATTACTTATCTCAAAAGTAACATTTAGCATTAATTTATTATATGATGAGTCTTGAATCAGAGGGACTGATTCCTCCCACTTGGTTCTTTTTTTTCCAATTTTTAAAGCTATTCTATTGCCTTTAACTTTTCATATGCATTTTAGAATAATATTTTGTCTCTATGTAACAATACCTTGGGGCAGGTATTTGGTATAGAGGTTAAGATGCTGCTTGGGATGCCTATAGCCTAATCAGAGGGCCTGGGTTCAAGTCCTGGCTCTGCTTCCAATTCTAGCTTCCTGCTAACACACACCCTGGAAAGCAGCAGGTGATGGCTCAAGTACCTGGGTACCTGCCAGCTATGTGGGGGACCTGGATTGACTCTTGACTGCTGGGTTCTGACCAGCCCAGCCCTGACTCCTGTGACATTCGGAAGTGAACCAGGTATGGAAGATGCCTCTCTGTTACCGTCTCTTTGCCTTTCTAATAAAAATAAACAGATAAATAAATTCAATTAATTAAAAACCTCCTGCTAGAATTTTGACAGAAATTGTACTAAACCTGTATATCAGTGAAGAAGGGGGAGGAACTTACATATTTACTAAATTGAGTTTTCCAACCCATGAACAAGCATCTCTTCATTCTTTGGATGCAGCATTATTGTGGTTTTCAGCATTCAGCTCCTATACATGGTTTACTAGATTTACAACTAAGTATTTCACTTTTTAGTAATGTTATTATATATCTTTAGAATAAATTTATTGTGCATATTTGAAGTTTACAACATGATATTATGGAAACATATAGATGTTAAAAAGGTTACTATAGGGCAGGCACTGTGGTGCTGCAGGTTAAAGCCCTGGCCTGAACTGCCGGCATCCTGTATGGGCACCGGTTCTAGTCCTGTCTGCTCCTCTTCCCATTTAGCTCTCTGCTATGGCCTGTGATAGCAGTAGAAGATGGCCCAAGTTCTTGGGCCCCTGCACCCATGTGGGAGACCTGGAAGAAGCTCCTGGCTCCTGGTTTCAGATCAGCGCAGCTCTGGCTGTTGCGGCCACCTGGGGAATGAACCAGCAGATGGAAGACCTCTCTCTCTCTCTCTGCCACTCTGTAACTCTGTCTTTAAAAAAAAAAGGAGAAAAAAAAGGTTACTATAGTAAAACAAACTAATATATCTATCATCTCACAGGTTTACCATTTTAAAAAGATTTATTATTTGTTTGAAGGTCAGAATTACCGACAAAGAGAAAGACAAACACACACACACACACACACACAGAGTGAGATCTTCCATCTGTTGGTTCACTCCCTACATGGCTGCAATGGCCAGGGCTTGGCCAGCCCAAAGCCGGAAGCCAGGAGCTCTGAGTCTCCCATGTGGGTGGCAGGGGCCCAAACACTTGGCTGTCTTCCAGCTGCTTTTCTCAGGTTATTAAGGCGCTGGATCACAAGTGGAGCAGTCAGGAAATAAACCAGCACCCATATGGGATGCTAGAGTTGCAGGCGGTGGCTTTATGTCAGCCCCAGGTGTTCACCCTTTTTATGATAAGAGTAGCTGAAGTCTATGTATTTAACAAAAATCCCTCATACAATTTTTACTGACTATAATCCTCATAGTCTACAGTAGCTCTCTAGTTTTGTTCATTTTATTTATCTGCTACTTTATATCACTTGACCTACATTTCCCCAACTCTTCTTCCCTTGCCACCTGCCCAGGTAACCACTACTTCAGTCTGTGTGTTTGATCTTTTTTTTCTTGAAGATTTTACCTACAAGTGAGATCATGTAATATTGATCTCTCTGTGCCTGGCTTATCTTACTTAGCATAATGTCCTCACAGTCCATCCATGTTGTGGCAAATGGCAAGACTGTCTTCTTCTTCTTCTTCTTCTTCTTCTTCTTCTTCTTCTTCTTCTTCTTCTTTTGACAGGCAGAGTTAGACAGTGAGAGAGAGACAGAGAGAAAGGTCTTCCTTCCGTTGGTTCACTCCCCTAATGCCGCTATAGCTGGCGCTGTGCCAATCTGAAGCCAGGAGCCAGGTGCTTCCTCCTGGTCTTCCATGTGGGTGCAGGGACCCAAGCACTTGGGCCATCCTCCACTGCCCTCCCGGGCCACAGCAGAGAGCTGGACTGGAAGAAGAGCAACCGGGACAGACTCCAGTGCCCCAGCTGGGACTAGAACCCAGTGTGCTGGCACCGCAGGAGGAGGATTAGCCAAGTGTGCCATGGTGCCGGCCCAAGACTGCCTTCTTTTTTAAGGTTTGATAATATTCAGATGGATAGATAGATAATAGTTGATAGATATATAGAAAGATGATAGATATAGATAGAAGGATAGAGATAACAGGTAGGTAGGTAGGTAGATGATAGATAGATAGATAGATAGATAGATAAATACTTATGGATAGACAGAAGTGGAGCAACCAGAACTTGAAACAGTGCTCACATGGAATGCTGGCACCACAGGCAGAGGCTTAACCTGCTATGGCACAGCGTCAGCCCTGTACCTGGCTTCTATTACTCAATGGAAAATCTATGATATTCATGCATGTTGTGAACATCAGGAGTTCATTGCCAGGTTCATTGTAAGGATGAAGCACACGTTCTTTATCCAGTCTCCTGTTGGTGGACACGTGGGCTAGTTCCATTTTCAGGTTGTTATGAATGAATAAAGTGGCTGCAAACATTCCTGTTTGGTGGCTTTTTGCACAAATTACTCTCAGATATATAAACCCATCAGTAGGATTACTGGGTCATATCAAAGCTACTTATGAAATTAAATTTGATAAACAGATACAAACAGGTTTAGGTCACCTATTTTTGTTAGATTATTTTTAGGATTGGTTCTATGGCTCCTGTTCACAGCCATCACATACTCTTGTAATATCTAGTTAAATCATAAAATTAATTGAAGGTGCAATGAATTGTGATACATAAGTCTACTTTAGCATATACTGACTGATATTTCACATTATATGTGAGGTCGTAATAAAGGTGAGGGTTATGCGAAACAAAATAGAAGATGTGTCTTGAGCCCTTTACATGGATGTCATAAATTAAAATAAAAACCTTTTTGCCGAAGGCTTCATGAAAGCAGGAGATGAAGTACAAATGCATGCCCAGTGACGGCATGCGTCAGACTAACTGTGCCTTCAGATACTTTCTCTGGCTGTTTGATGGAAACAGAAGTGATCATGTGAGGTCAAAATGACCTTCATGTGCCATCAGAAATCTGGTGGTGCTGGGGAGTTAGACCAAGGTGGGGTTAAGGTGCAGAGAGAGAGAGAGAGAGAGGGGTTTAGGAAGCTGTCCCACACACCAAATAGTTGTGTTGGTTTGAGCTGCCCAAGAGAAAGACACACACGTCAGTACTAACAGGATTGGGCTCTTGTGACCTTTTATCAGACCGTGCTGTTGGCTAGGTCACAGGTTCCCAGTGGAAATACACCTGTATTTCTCAGGTGGATGAGTGGGACCAAGAGTTCTAGAGCTTCAGGCCTGATGTATGTTCCATTGTGTGCCTCAGACAGGATCATATTCTCTGTTCACATGACTATATTGGATCCCATTCCAAACTCTTCTGGGACGAGTTCCTAATGATGGCTGGGAGTGGTTACAAGGAGGACTGGAAGATCCCACCTTCCTTTCTTAGAATAGAGCACTAAGACCACGTGGAAGTCCTTGGCTGGAGAGGATGTTTGGGGTGCAGCCTGCAGACTCTCCCTGCCCCGCTGCGATGTGCAAAGGTGTTGATGTATTCCCCTCTCTGCTGCAATTGCTCCATTTCATTGGCTTCTGATGATTCAACTGAAGTCATTTGAAAAGGAAAAATCTGGAGTGACTTAACGATTAATGACAGTTTCTGATGAGCCCAGGATAACCATGGCAACCACCTGGAGCTGTTGTGACTCTTGCCAGGAGCAAAGCAAGTCAACATTTTTAACCTTATCTACCTAACCTCAGTGCAGATGTAGCTATGATTTCTCCTGGCCCTTATCAGCCATCTAAGGAGTCCTCCATCACCGCCAGTATGGACACAAGCCCTCTGGGGGACTGTTAGCTGTTGAGTAACCGCCCCAGCGGTCTGGGTCACAAACAGGCTCCAACAGGTTCCTGGGCAATTCCTTTCGTTAGTATCCAGCCCCTGGCGTCCTGGCCTGATCCCAGGTGCACTTAGGTTAGTGTCTGCTCTGTCTTTTCCTCTCCACCCTGCCCTACCTGTGATGGGAGTATCTAAGGAATGCAGGACACCCTGGAACTTCCAGGACACAGCACAGTATGACTGGAAAGACCGCAGGGTCTTGAACTGGGCCAACCCTTCCTGGCCATATATAAGCTTGTCATTTACCTTTTTGGAAACTGTGTCCTTGGATACTCACTGACAAGGATAATAGGGCCCAATTCCTGGGTTCTTCTGAGACTTCAAAGAGAAAGTGGGTCAAAAGCGCCAGGATTTCAATAAAGTCCTGTTCTCATGTTCCAGTTTCTCGATGTTCTCATAAGAACCTAGGCCAAGGGGGTATTAGTGCTCCACTGAGGCCAACTTAGAACTAGCCCTGGACCCACACCCTGAACCACTGCCTGTACAGCAGCTTCCCAAGGAAGTTCTTGGTTGGCCGAAAAATGGCCTCAATCCAGTGTGATTAGAATGAACCCAGGCCAGCTAGAGGGAACAAGGTAACTAGAAAAATTGTCTGCCTGTTATGAAAACCAGGCCTTCTCTAGGACAAAAAAATCACAATCTTGGCCAGCACAGTGGCATAGTGAGCTAAGCCACTGCCTGCAGTGCTGGCATCCTATATGGGCGCTGGTTCATGTCCTGGCTGCTCCTCTTCTGATCCAGTTCTCTGCTATGGCCTGGGAAAGCAGTAGAAGATGGCCGAAGTGCATGGGCCCCTGCACGCACGTGGGAGACCTGAAAGAAGCTCCTGGCTCCTGGCTTTGGATCAGCCCAGCTCCAGGCTATTTGGGGAATGAACCAGCAGATGGAGAACCTTTCTCTCTGTCCCTCTCTCTCAGTAACTTTACCTCTCAAAAATAACCTTGAGGCCAAAGGCTGCATTAAATATCCTTCCAGCTAAAGAATCAACATTTTCACACTCATGCCAATACTAGCAACTGCCATTAAGAAAATCAAACTGGGTCGAGAGCATATTTGCAGCCAATGGATACACGCCAGTACTTATACTGCCTAAAGCCCAAAAAGGAGTTTGCAGAAAAAGCAGGCATCATTAAAGGAGTAACAGTAATCGGGAAATTGGATATAGTATGGAAAACAAATCTAGGTGAGAGGGGAAGGTTACAGAACAGCCAACTTCAGAGAATGGCTCCAGGTTATGGAGATGTTAGGTTGTCTTTGGAGGCAATCCCAGATACCGTGAACCTAGAAGAACCCTTTCACATTACCTGTAAAATAACAAACTGCAGCAGTGAAAGGACTATGGACCTGGTTTTGGAAATGTGCAATACCGATTCTTTCCACTGGTGTGGGATTTCAGGAAGACAGCTCGGAAAGCTGCATCCAAGTTCCTCTCTCTGCCTCGCCCTTACTCTACTATCTTCGGTACAGGGACTACAAAGCGTCTCTGGCTTAAGACTAACAGACACATTCTTAAAGAGAACATATGAATATGATGACATTGCACGAGTCTGTGTGGTATTTTCGGCCATTAAAGTAGAAAGCTGAAGAAAATTACACTTTTTGTTTCTATGTTTCCATCATCTCTGTAAAATAATCAAGTCAACGGCAAAAATAAGTATATTATTTAAATTTCTTTCTTGTAAGAAAATATTAAATACTTGTTTTGAACAGAACTATCTACCGATTTTATCTTGTGAGTTACATGCTCAGTGAACATTTGTACATTTTCTACTCCTATTTTGTTTCATTGTAGATATCACTTGGACTTTGTTCTCCAAAATCTCTGTATTTGACGCCATTTGTCCCAAGTTTCTAGAGCTGCAGTCAGTGAAGTTTTTATGTGAAAGACAGAATGGTTTCTACCGCAAATACTACACTTTGCAATTGTAGTGCAAGAGCGGCAGTAGGCAGAAAAGTGCACTGGTGTTTACAAGCCAGGAGGCTGGCAGGACTTGGCCTGTAAGCCATGGTTTGCTGACCTCGGCATAGAAGACACAATTGTTTCCTACAACTTTAGAACTCTCTCAGTACCTTATTTAGAAATAGGGAGCTACAGGTTTTTTTCTTAGGTCCTTAGTCAGCATAAAAGGTTTGTTTACAACTGGGGTAGTCCTCCTGGTACTGGCTAACACAGTATGAGGTTTGCTAATTATTTTCAAAATTATTATATTGGTATGTATGTGTCACCTGCTCATCTAACTTTAAGGTACTAAACAGCAGATCAGAATTGGTTTTCTCTTCTAGGCTGTTGATTATTCAATTAATTTTTAACTGACAGGCCTAGTAATCTTACAATTCAAAGCCAAAAACTACTGGTTTTTTTCCCATTGAAAAATAAGACATTTCTTTTCATAAGGCATATTTGAAGGCCTCCCAGCATCTGATATTTGATTGTAAACTTTAAATCATGTTTTAGTAGTTTGTAGCTTTGTGTCTTTCCATTGAATCACACTAATTTACATATGCTATGAGCAAAACAATGGGAAAGTTAGGTTGTAGCAATGTGAATGTAACAACAAGTTTCAATAGTTTGTGAAGTAAACAAAAGATTATGCTGTTAGATAAAAGCTATCCTGTTTGGTAAGTTGAAATTCAAGAATGTATATATAATTTCTTAAATGTAAAAGCACATCAAGTCAAATACAAAGATTTTTTTCTTAACTGCATAATTATTTATTGCTGTGACAAACTGGTCCCAAATGAAAGCTATGATCAGAAGGGTTGCCCTTCAAATTTGAGTAATAAAGAAATATCTGTGCAAAATAAATTATAAGCAGTGTAAAACTGAAGTCTTTCTTCCAAAATGATTAAGGTTGATCAAATAATGAAATAAGACTTTATAGCCAAAAAAAAAAAAAAGAAAAGAAAATCAAACTTTCTGATTGGCTGAGGCTACTATTTGGTCAGTTTTTCTGTCACCCGGAGGTGAACATAAATCCAGTGGGCCCAGGTTGGGCTGATGGTGAAGAAAGTCCTAGAAAAGGAGGAGCAAAACCAATCCAAGAATCAGGTGGGAAAAGCTAGTTTGGAAGATCTGTAACAGGTGGCAATTTGCATTGGGGGTGGGTGTGTAGGAAGGGGGCAGATCTTATTATAAACAGGACTTATTTGCATAAGACCCTGGGCCAAAGGGCTATCTCAAGGAAAGAGAAGGCCCAGGTAATCTGATTCTCTCAGAGAATTAACCTTGTCTTTGGCCTTATCAGACCATCGATAGTGAATTTAATTTGCCTGAGTTGATTTAGGTTTGATCATACCTAGGGACACATAACGTTGCCAGTTTCCTAATACTTAATTTTAAACATATGACTTATCATTCGGAAGGTAACAACACGCTCTTAGATTTTCTTCCACAATTTCCTGGATGAGTTCCTAAATTAGCCTTCTTGGAACTGAGCCCCAGTAGGGCAGTGGAAAAAACAAGCTCGGGGCCACACCCACTTGCTTAGCCCAGCTTCAGGGCTCAGCAGCTTCGGGATCCTGACCGAGTCACTCCCGAGCTCCGAGCTCCAGGTTCCTTGTTTGTCAAAAGGCGGGAGTAACTCTGCCTTCTCTGGGCTGTCACAAGGTGCTTAGTGCAGTGCTGGGTGTAGTGCAAGCAAAGAGCCAGTGTGGCATCGGCTCTTGCCCTGCCAATCGCCCCGCCCTCCCTCTGTGGCTCGTACTTTTCGCTTTCCCAATTCTGACGTCGAATCAGGAATCACCTTGAAACTCTTCCACGTGTAGTCTCTGGCTGAACCAGGGCCTGAGATTGCTTTCTTATGGGTCCAATGCCAGAGTGTGGGTCTCTTTCTTCCAACTCCTTGAGTTCCCTGAGCCATTGCTTATGTAGGCCCGGGCTCCCCTATTCTGAGACAGCCTGGAGTCAGGAGCCTGGTCTATTCACAGCCCCAGGAAGGAGTCAGGAGCCTGGTGCATTCACAGCCCCCGGAACGCTTCCTGGACCATCATCAGTGCTCGCAAATTTGTGGAAGGAATGAACTCCGTGAGCATCACGTGCATCCTTGCAGCACAGAAAGAGCCAGCTAAGGCGCTTTGTGCTCGCAAAGGCTCAGCAGTTTTCGTGGAAGCAAAGCCTTCCAGCCCCGCCTCCCCAGCTTTTGGTGACTGGCAAATGGCTCTTAATTCCCATTCCTCTTCCTCACTGTTTGGTAACCAGGGCCAGCACCGCAGCCCACTGGAGCTATACAGCTCTGTAACTATGGCGTCTAACAGCTCTGTTCTTTTATCGACCTTTCCCTCCTACCCCACTGATGGGACGGAAACTGGGACCCTTGGCAAAATATCATGAGCTTGCTTTTAAAAAAGCCAATTTTTTTTCCACCCCTGAAAAAAAAAAAACCCACAATTTTCCCCAGTCCATCAAATTGAGCTTAGCTAGGTACATTTAAGAAATTACAACAGAGCTTGGCATCACACCTTGTGACAGTGACAAGACCACCACAACTGACGTGACAGGCGCTACAGTATGCCAGGCACTGTTCTAAACATTTTCTTTCTCAACCGTTGTCAGCAACCCAGCGGCACAGGCAACACAACAGATGAGGATATCGAGTCGCAAAGCGGCGAAGAAACTTGCCGAAGGTTACTAGCAACTGATGAAGCCGGCATTTTTTTTTTAAAGATTTATTTATTTATTTGAAAGGTAGTTGCAGAGAGGCAGAGGCAGAGACAGAGAGAGAGGTCTTCCATCTGTTGGTTCACTCCCCAAGTGGCCGATCTGAAATCAGGAATCAGGAGCTTCTTCCGGGTGTCCTATGCAGGTGCAGGGGCCCAAGGACTTGGGCCATCTTCTGCTGCTTTCCCAGGCCACAGCAGAGAGCTTGGATCGCAAGTGGAGCAGCCGGGACTCGAACCGTTGCCCACATGGGACGCTGGCACTGTAGGCAGCGGCTTTACCCGCTATGCCACAGCGCTGGCCCCGAAGCCGGGATTTGAATCAAGGCTTTCTGAACCAGAACTGGAACTCCTAACCACAGAGCTATACTTAAATTTATTGCAATTCTTTCAAAGAATTTGGTGACATTGATCCAATCCAAAGACCTCTCAGCTTTGGACTTGTTAAATATAACTCCTGAAAGTACAATCTCACATCCTCATCCCTCTGCTCTCTCCCCCCAAACCCAGTTGGGTCATAAAGATAATATCAAAGCAAAACCCCATATCAGCTTGCCTGATCCCATTATGGCCTCGTCAGCGTTTTCCTATTTCACTTAGAAGAATCTGCAGTCTGGCTGCCTCTCTTCTCTCCCTGCATATTTAGTAGCACGCCTCTTGCTTGCTCTCTAGCACAAACCACACCAGTCTCTTGTTGCACCCACGGTGCCGTGAGCACAGTGCTGCAGTTGGGCCAGGAATGAAAACAACTACACCACAGGAACAATCCGTCATTCTGTCCATCTGCTGCCCAAGAGGGATCTGAAAATAGTTTCAATTCACCTTTAAAATCCACAGCTCTATGAAGGGCTTGTAACACTTGGCGGCCCTGGAAGCCTGCCCGAGAAACAGGATGGCTATTCGGACTACTGGTGTCCAGCTGCAAGCCTCCTTGCAGCGAAACAAGCCGTCCATTCATCAGGGTTGTTGTGAAATTTTCCTTCTCCATGGCCCTTCCAGCCAAGGAGGAGGATACCTGCTCCAGCGGATTCTGGATTCTTGTTCTCCCTACTGTGGGCCTTGGGTTTTTATTATTCTTTTTTTTTTTTTAATTGCCTACTCTTCCTCCCTCCCCCTCCCCTGCCCCCGCTTAGCCCTCTGTTGCTCCAGCTCTCCTATCCTGCAACTTCTCCAGCTGTTTGCTTTTCTTTCTTTAGCCCCAGAGCTGGGGGGCCTGGGCCTGAGATAAGGCTTGCCATCTAGAATTTTAAAATCAGTTAGTGAGCATAGCCATTTCTAATCTTTCACCCAGACCAGGAGACTTTGGAGAATAAGTGCTATTCGCAATGGGAATAGGGATAGAGTGGACCTTCCTACGTGTCACTGCTTATATATTTGTCCCCTTACCCTCAACTCAGGAGTTTAGTCCCCGGGTATTATGGTAGTGATACTGGGAGGGAGGGAAGTGATCAGATTAGACTGAGTCATTGGGTGGAGCCCCGTGATTGCATCCTGGTGGTTTTCTAAGGAGACAGAGACCACATAGGCAGAGACAGACACATGTGTTCCCCCGTCTCTTACCACGTGATGCCCTGCGCGCCCTCAGGACTCCACCAGCATGCACACCATCACCAGAGATGGAACCAATGGGGCCACCCAGCACTGGGGCGTGAACCTCTGGAAACTATTGGCCAAAGTAAACCTTTGTTCTTTATGGCCGGCGCCATGGCTCACTAGGCTAATCCTCTACCTGCGGTGCCGGCACACGGGGTTCTAGTCCCGGTCGGGACGCTGGATTCTGTCCTGGTTGCTCCTCTTCCGGGCCAGCTCTCTGCTGTGGCCTGGGAGGGCAGTGGAGGATGGCCCAGGTCCTTGGGCCCTGCACCCACATGGAAGACCGGGAGGAAGCACCTGGCTCCTGGCTTCGGATCAGCACAGCATGCCAGCTGCAGCGCTGG